ACTTATTACTAGCATAGCAGAATATGCGAGGAGGTATTCTAATTCCTATGACGTCACAGACAAGGAAAGCATTATTGTGCGAAAAGGATAGAAAAGGATTTTCGAGGACACTNATGGAAAATTCATTAATTACTCATTTTCTGTTCAAAATTTCTGCACTTTTAAGGTTGCATCTTGAAGCTAGAACTCCAAACAAGTTTCTCATATCAATTTTAATTAGAAATTCTATTTGGTTAATTTTTTATTAACGATTAATGCGTTGTGCGTTCTACATCGAAGACGCCATATTGGTAATTACTGGTTAATTAATTAATTACTCGTTTTCTACATAAAATTTCCATACTTTTAAAATCGCATCTTAAAGCTAAGACTCCAAACAAGTTTCTTATATCAATATCAATGCGAAATTCGTTTCTATTTATTATTTATTAACAATTATTATGCAGAATGTTTCGATTGCAACCTGTCACTTCGTAACTGAGTAGTAAATAATTAATTTTATTATTTAAATAATAATAATATTTAAAATAAATGTTATATATGAATTTAGGGGAAGGAACAAGCTTTCAAATGCATATAATTATATTTAAAAATAGATCCAATATTAATGAGAAATTAATGAAAATTTTATTGCGTAACAGTTACGTCACTGTGATATAATATGTTAAATAATTAATAAATAATTAATGGAAATGAATTTTAAATTAAAATTGATATGAGAAACTTCTCTGGGATTCTAGTTTTAAGATATAATTTTAAAAATGCAAAAAATTTGAGTAGAAAACGAATAATTAATAAATTTTCGATGTATTGTCTTCGAATGTATTAGAACGCGTAACATTTCATTTAATTAATCGTTAATAAAAAATTAATCAAAGAAAAATTTGAATTAAAACTGATATAAGAAATTTGTTTGGGGCCTTAGCTTTAAGATGCGATCTTAAAAGTGTGAAAATTTTGTGTAAAAAATGAGTAATTAATGAATTATCAATATGGCGTCTTCGATGTATTAGAACACAACGTTTCACTTAATTAATCATTAATAAAAAATTAATCAAAGAAAAATTTGAATTAAAACTGATATAAGAAACTTGTTTGAGATTTTAGCTTTAAAATGCAATCATAAAAGTGTGGAAATTTTATGTAGAAAACGAATAATTAATGAATTACCAATATGGCGTCTTCGATGTATTAGAACGCACAACGCATTAATCGTTAATAAAAAATTAATCAAATAGAATTTCTAATTAAATTTGATATGAGAAACTTGTCTGGAGTTCTAACTTT